ACTCCTCATAATGCCAGCAAGGCTGTCATTATCCACTATTAGGCCTGCTGCTGGCTTGTGTCTGCCAACAGACCTCATGCCATTATCCTTATGCGTATTACCAGTACAGGGCATCTAAGCAAAAGTGATATCTTGGGAGTCGACAACTTTCATGTGCCTTCATCAGAAGCATAATTTTCTAGTCATTTGCTAAGTTTATGGTAATTGATTGATGAACCTTCATTTTCCTCCGCAAGAGCAGCATATTGTGTCTGCTGAAGTTTATACAACGTGCTTCTAGCAGTAGTTCTCATTGAAATCTGATCTTGGAGCTTCCTCAATTCCTTCAGTGTGGTTTCTGCATGCAGTATTTTATTCTCAATGCCTTCAATGTTCCCCTCTAACTCCTTTATTTGAGCTTTTAAGAATTCAGATTTCTCTTGATCTTGAGCAATATTCTCACGAAGCTGCGAGCAAAACAAACTCAGATTACTAAAAGACTGTTCACCAACTAATGTTGCAGAAAACAGAAACACCACTAGAAATTTATGCTGATCACATATACTAGGAAACTATATCCAATAAGAAAATATAAAATTTTATAGCAAAATGTTAAAGTCATACAGCACAATGATGTCATTTTTCATACAGCACAATGATGTCATTTTGTCAGCTCTTCCTTATCTATTATCATTCAAGGTCAAGCGTTCACAAGGGTCCCGAAGTCAGCATTTAATCCAAGCCCAAAGCTAAACGGTTAAGGAATGCATCGGTGGATACAATAGTGTAATTTTTGGGTCATGAAAGAACAGGAGATTCAATTCAGGTATGGTCACCATATGGTCACAAGCCCTAGTTACTCGTGTCCAAGTAAATATGGAAATAATTGCACTCAGTTAGCAGTTTGCACTCAATTCACTGTAGCATAAGCATTCTAGTGCAAAGTAGCAAGAGGTATTTTTCAAGTCCAAAATGTAGAGGAATATCAATCTGTTGATCGAAATTATCAACTTTAATGGAAAAAAAATGCATACTAAATTTCCCATAGTTGCATGGGTCACCTGCAAATGGTTTATACAACAAGAAGTATGAGACATCTGCTGCTTGAAGTGGAACAGGATGCAAAACAAGGCAGACAATTTTTTAGAGGACCTTATAAGCTGCATCTTTCAGAGTTTGCAGGTTCTCCAACTTCAGCTTGTACGTTTTTATCTCCTGTGCTTGTTCCTTGTGAAGTTTCTTTATGGCCTCTAAAGCTTTGGTGTAGCTAGGAGAGAGAATCCCAAACTACAAGTTAGAGATATCCAATAAATGCAATTGAAACATTATAAAAGACAAGAACAGAGAAGGTATAGCAACAGTCAGCATTCTTTCAAGTAGAATGCATGGACATCGGTATTAAATAAAGCTATCAGGATTTAGCAGGGTAAAGTTTAGTCTGCACAAGAACTGCAGTTCAAAGGAAATAGAAAAAGTGCAAAAAAAAGCAATTGACTGGTTTTCTATTTTGTCAATCTCAGAGTCTGAGATGGAAACAACTTTAGTATGTCCAAACTTCTAAAAAGAGGACCTTGTATTAAGCAATAGATTAGAAATCCAAAAAGAATGAAACATCCGGATGGCTACTAACTTCAAATTTTATTACTATTAATCGAACCTAGCAATATATTCTTCAAAGAAGATGTCATTATTGGCTCAAGAATAGGTGACAAGGAATAATTAGATTAATAAAGATATATTTTCATTAGTGGTTTCAAAAGGCGTTAGGCGCTCACCTCGCCCGAGCACCTCACAGAAACCCCAAGCGCAGCACTTCAATGAAGCACTACTCGAGCGCTCGCTTGAGCCCAGGCGCAAGGCACCTCAGGCGAGCACTCGAGTCAACTTTAGGACTTGGGTTCAATCGTTGGTTCGATTGGACTTATAAGTTGGTTCAATCAAACCAACTAACATAGTCCAACCCCCTCCCTCGACCAACACAGTAAAAGAAAAGAAACCCTACATCTGTCACCTTTATTCGCTCTGCCAACCGTTGTCGGCAACCTCGTCCAATCTCGTATGCCGCTGCAACTCAGCTACCGTCGCTGCAGCTCATCCGTCGCTAGAGCTCGTCCGCCATTGTAACTCATCTGTTGTTGGAGCTCGTCCACCACTGCAGCTCGTCTAAACCCTAAACCTCTTCCGCTGCTATAACTCTGTCAGCTGCTGTAGTAGCTCTGTCTGTCACCGATGGCAAACTCTTCCATCCGCCGCCTTCGCACGCTCCGTTTGATGCTGCAGCTCCGTCTGTTGTAATTGACAACATCGTCTACTGCCTTCCTCCGCCACTGCAGCTTCATCCATTCGCAGCTGCAGTTTCATTTGCTGCCCTCTGCTTCCCCCACCTTCCTATTAATTAGATTGCTTTGTCTATTCCCCCACCTTCCTGTTAATTAACCGGTTGGCTCTTGCCCAACTTTGGTCAAGAAACTCCCTGGTTAACAAAACATTCCTGGTATACATGAAACTCTCTTAGCTTTAAATTGATAATGACTTAGAGCAGCAAAACATTCCTGGTTAATAAGAAGCTTTTGGAGCAGTTTAATTCTAACATAGGTCTTCATAAACATGTTTAACATATTTTTATTTAGTTGTATATTATTTTAATTATAATATTCGGGAACACCTTGGACTTTTTGGGACCTTAGTGTCTTTTAGTGCCTAGTGCCTTTTAAATCACTAATTTTCATTCTAAAACTAGACATTTATTAAGCTATCATTAATGAATTCTTCCACAGATAGGGCAGAATTAAGCCTCTGAGACTATGCATTGTCTGATGGAACAAGTTAATAAGAAGCTTTTGGAGCAGTTTAATTCTAACATAGGTCTTCATAAACATGTTTAACATATTTTTATTTAGTTGTATATTATTTTAATTATAATATTCGGGAACACCTTGGACTTTTTGGGACCTTAGTGTCTTTTAGTGCCTAGTGCCTTGTAAATCACTAATTTTCATTCTAAAACTAGACATTTATTAAGCTATCATTAATGAATTCTTCCACAGATAGGGCAGAATTAAGCCTATGAGACTATGCATTGTCTGATGGAACAAGTGTGTCCGTAAACGTTCCAGAGTGTTTTGAAAGCACTGTACAGAATATGATGTACAGACCTATTTTTGAAGGTTTGCAAACCATATAATTCAAATCCAGAAGTCAAAGGATAATCTTAGCTTCTCAATAAGGCAAAGACAAAATACGCATCCACAAGACAGAAACAGTTGCAACCATTGTCAGCAAACGTGCAGTTGAAATCAAGTTTAGGTAAGAAAGAGGTAATACCGGGTCGCAGAGAATATGTCATCAAACTTCTTCTTGAGGGTCGAAGGGTCCTGAAGAGGCCAGTTGGATTCGTCCTGGTGCACGAATATCACATTCTCCAGGATCGCCTTGGAGACGCCCATCAGCGCGGGGATCTCACGGTCCATGTCGGCACATCGATAGCTGAGGCAGACCTTCTGCACTCATACAAGGCAAAAAAATGATCAGCGTGTCAAAGGCACGTCAATTGGTGAGACTGAAGAGAGGAGGGAGGGGGAAAAGGAAGGGAAGGGACCTCCCCAGTGTGGGGATTGATGGTCTGGAGGACGCTCTCGATGGCCTTGAACTCCATCTTGGAGGCCTTCTGGGTGAGCTGGAAGGAGCGGATGCAGACCACGTCCTTGCCGGCGGCCGTCTTGAACCGCAGCTTAATCTGCCCCTTGGTCTCCGTCTCGCCCGCCACCTTCGCATGGAAAAATCCCCGAAAACGAATCAAAACGACGAAAAGCAGCCGGAGACGACGACGACGACGACATCAAAGGGGATCGAGAAGGGAGGAAAACCTTGGGGTCGTGGATGAAGCTGTGGCCGGAGCGGGAGTTGGGCGGGAGTTCACCGGTGCAAGAGAGCTTGAGGCACTCGATGATGGTGGTCTTGCCGGCGCCGTTGGGGCCGACGATGAGAGTGAGCGGCTTGAAGAAGGTAATGACGTGCTTGTTCTCCGGGCTGAAGCTCCGGATCCCCTTGACCAGCATCTTGTCCACCGTACTCATCTTTCCTTTTCCCTCTCGCTCTACTCTCCCCTTCTCTTTGGCTTGTCGATCACGCTTACCCTCTCCACCTCTCCATCTCTTGCTGTGTCTTCTCCTCGAGGGTTTTGGCTGTTGATTGCCCCTCTTGTAACGGCAAAATAAATGAGGCTTGGGGTTTATATATCATCTATAAGCGAATTCTCTATAAAAAAAAAACTATTTTTTCGTTTAGAATACCTTTTTTATATTTCGGAAAAGACGTTATTTATTTATCATAATTTTTCCTTAAGAGTATATATATATATATATATATATATATTTCATTTGCTATGCAGGTCTCTTAATCTCCACTCTCACTCTATTGTTCATATCATGAGTTGATATAACATAAATTATATATATATTATATTAATAATTTATTATGAGTTAGTATGTCGCATAGATTTTAACATATATTAACTCAAATTTGAGGAGAGAAATTTAAGTACTATTATTTTTAAAATATAAAATTTATTTTAGATACGAATAAATCGTAAAGTTTAAATAGTCTATCAAAATCATAAGCTAAAATATACCTTAACATAAGCACATCGACTGTACAGTGATTTCTGTCTATGGTCACGATTTTTAGATAAATCGTAGTATTCGATCGGAATCATATTGCAAAGTCCACCAGATGTGATTGGTGTATGGTGTACAGTCAACGATCTTTTCTTAGATAAAACTCAAACACGAGAGTTGACTTTTGTTCTTCGTTGAGGTGCAGAGTACGTGACGCAGAGGTATTGTCGAGGATCGAGCCATCAACGTACAGGGGAAGATAATATCGACGAGATGAACACACACTGCCGATTCGCATCTCTGAACTCGAAGAGAGAAGGCGCCGCTCCGTCCATCGATCAGGAGGAGCCGCCCGCGATCGCCGGTTGTCGTCATCTTGTGTTGGCTGACAATGATAGGAAAGGGATGGCGAGCGACAAGCGATTCGTGCGCGCTCAAAACCAGCAGCTCTCTCCTTTGGCTGGCCGGATTGACCTTAGCAGCCTTTCGCAAGTCTTCTAATCTGTATTTGATTGCGTGAGACTGCAGGCTTACTGCAAATCCTACGTCAGTCATCGCAATCGTTCTATGTAGGTCGTCGTGTTCGAGGATAGGGTGACAGAAGTTGTCACCGATGAAGACCTGGAATCTCGTCTTCCTCTCCGTCGCCTTGGTTTTGGTCATCGAGCTCCTCGGCCCCGCCTCCGTGGCAAAAGCTCCGAGCTCCCACGCGGGCCGCCGCCCTTTGCCCGTCCTCGGTAACCTCGTCCTGCTCGTCGATCTTTCTTGGACCTCGGCCCCATCCGCAGCTGCCTCAGCGCCACCTACGGCCCGGTGGTGACCTTGTTCGTGGGTCACAAGCCAGCCGTCTACATCGTCGACCGACATGTCGCTCGCCAAGCCCTCGTCGAGAAGGCCTCTCAGTTCTTCGACCGGCCGCCGCCAATCGGTGCCACCTGCATCTGCAGCAGTGGTGGTCGCATCATCAGCTCTGCGGCCCACGGTGCTCTGTGGCGCCTCCTCCGCCGCAACCTCACGTCTGGGATCCTCCTCCCCTCTCGCATCAGGTCCTGCTCTCGGGCTCGTGAGCGCGCCCTTGCTAGCTTGATCGAATCCCTCAAAGCTGATGCCGATTCGGGCGATGGTATTGTTATGGTTTACGATCATATACGGCACGCGTTTCTGCGCCTGCTGATCCTGATGTGCTTCGACGACGCCCTCTCCGAGAAAGCAGTTCGAAACATCATGCGCATCCAGCGAGGTCGTCGGCATGGGGGCCGACCTCTTCATATTCGACATGTGGCCACGAGTGGCGATGGTGTTCCTGTGGAGGAGATGGAGCGGATTTCTGGCGACTCGCCGCGAGCAAGAAGGCGTCATGTATCCACCTCGAGTACTTCGTGGCCAATCTGCTGCGGGAGTTCGAGTGGAAGCCCGACATGGACGATGAGGAGGTCGACGTGTCGGAGAAGTTGGTGTTCATGGTGGTAATGAAGCATCCACTGCGTGCTCGAATTGCACGCATACTCATAGAACCAATGAGATCACTCTAAGCTTGCTGTCTAATTCTTAGAATTAAATTATTCATAATGGATAGAGATAACTATTTTATGTAACTACATAATCATATATGATTAAGAATGATTTGCTATATTATTTGATTTAAGGAAATATTTGAGGTAGAAATGTGACCTATCATGATGTGATCGGTGGTGATATAGAACGAGAATATATGAGGAAAATGAATATAAATTAACAGAGCCACATCATCTATCGAAGAATGGGAAGAAAATATGAAATAGTTGGCTGTTTGAAGAAACAGAGCGGTCCCACTGTTCCAATCAATAGCGGACTGCCAGGTTGGCTAAAGAAAAGTGTATGCTGTTGAGTCCGAAAGTAGGGATTCGTTCCTCGTTTCCGAACCTGCTCCCAGCGAGATCGGACCTATCGCCACCACAACCAAAAAGGCGACAACAAACAGTAAAGCTGAACGAAGAGGTGGCGAAGGACTACCTCTGGCTTCTTCTTCCACCTACTCGACTTCCTCCGCAGCCAAAGGCAGGGAATTCCGCTGATGTGTGATGCGATGCAGGCCTTCTTCCGCCTCGAGCCATAGCAGCAGTGGTGGTGGGCAAACTGATGGCACCGCCGCGCAAGAAGTGGACGGAGGAGGAGGAGCGATCCCTCCTCGATAAGTACGCCGAGATGGCTGCTGACGAGTCCCTTTCCCGCCTCCGCACACGCGAGCGCCGCTTCCGCCCCATCGCTGCCCACGTCAACGCTCGCCACCACGCCGCCGACCCCGCCGCTTACCCCTTCCTCTGGTCCTGGAAAGACGCCGCCACCAAGGTGCACAACATGCGCCACCAGTACCTCCTCGTCAAGCGCAAGCTTCTCGTCCTCAACCGAACCTCCTCGGTTTCATGTTCCGCCGACGCTGCCATCGACGACTGGGCCAAGCAAGGCATCTCCCACTGGCCCAACTTCCTCCGCTACCGCTCTATCTTCGGCGATGCATCCTTACAGCCGGCGGACCCCGCCCCTGTTCCCGGGGTCCCCTTCGATGATGACGGCGAACTCGGCCTAGGGTTAGCCTTCGACTGCTGCACCGAAGGCGCCAGCGAGGGAGCCGATCGTGAGATCGAGGACAACGAGGGTTTTGATTTCGATGATGTGACCCCTGTCTCCGCCGCGGTGCCACAGCAACTCTTGCCGCCTCCGGTGGTGGAGATGGGCACGACGAAGAGGAGAAAGAAGAATCGTACTGAGCAGCGGCGAGCGCTGGCTACTTGGTGGGGGTGGGAGGCGAGGATGGAGGAGAGGGAGGCGGAACGGGAGAGTTTGAGGAGGGAGAGGAAACGGACGGCGGAGCAGGTGGAGGAGGAAAGGGAGCAGGGGAGGAGACAGGCAAAGCAGCAGTGGAGGGAGGAGGACCTGGAGTGGGAGGAGAGGATGGAAGTGAAGAGGGCAGAATGGAGGAAGCGGATGGAGGGGATGCTGAAGGAACACCAGGTTGAGATGGAGCAGGTCCAGGCTCAAATCCTCCATGAGCAACAGACTGTGGTCGGTCAGCTCCTGGGAGCGCTATCTCAATGGGTGGCAAGCCCTGTGTTTGGAGGGTTCTCGGATGGCGGCAGTGGTCCCGGAATGGGAAATCACCACCATGATCACCATCAACACCACCACCAACCCATGCCATATCTGTCTCAAATGATGCAGGGGTTGCACCACCATGTTAACGGAATTGTTTCAGCAGAGAATCGGATCGATGGGGATGCACATGAGGATCATTTTATTGTTGATCATTGATTGAATTTGGTAATTTTGATCACTTATATCACATTAAGGGATGTAATGAGATCACTCAGATGGAGTATTGTAGTGGCAGGCGTTTGCAAGAGGAAGAAGCATAATGCTTAGTGATCAGAATTGGATTTTTGTAAATGGCTTCATGCTGGATTGGAGGTACTTCAGTTGAACCTTTACGTGTGTTATCTGTCCAGTCATCATTCTTTCTATTCTTAGCTGTAAGGTATGATGTAATGTTTTTGTTCTAGCAGCCATCTTTCGTATTTGTTATATGAACATATGAATGAAGATGTAGTTATATTTAGGAGCTCAGTGGATTTCTTGATTTCTTTACTAGCATGGAAAAAATAGCTAAATGGGATGTATTCAGTTGATGTTTATGAGTTCCATTATCACTTGCTTTATACCTATGTTCGTTAGATGTAGTAAATTTATGGAATGCCATCATTCAGAAATTTCATAATTGATGGGCAAGCTACTCATTGATTTGGTATCAATTGGAAAATGAGTTGCATAAGCTAATAGATGACATATTGTTTTTTGTGATTTGTATATTAAAACTTTCCTCTCACCTTTGGGATTGCAGAATGAGATAAGCGCAACGTGTGAAACATATGCAACTTAAATTAAAAATGCAAAAATTGTGAAAGTCTTACAACAAAACTTTTATTAATTCTTTATTTTAAGACTATAATTTGTGTCATCTTCCAGATTTTGGAGGACATACAGTGACAGCATACAAATCCATTGTGTGGTGTTCAAAGTTCAGAATGTTGAAAAATAATGTTTATATATACAGCTCTGAGCAGAAATAACGTTCAGAAGCATTGCACATCATGCTTCTGAACACTGAAATTTGGGTAACAGAAGCTGCAGGAAGAATTATTCTTCAGGGAGATAGCTTTTAGATAGAGTTGTCTTTGGCATGGAATGGCTTGGCTGTATTGGCTCTTCTACTATGGACTCATTGGGTGCTCTGCTGCCGGAATTATGGTCCTGACTGTATATTAGGAGAATTTTGCTACCGGTAACCAGACATTTCTTTCCTCACTCAATGATTTGCCAGTTTCTTGTTACTTGTTTCTCATATTCAAGATTGGGTAAATGCAGTCAGACCAACTTTATAGTGAGATCCAGTATCTTAAGTCTACTTTAATAACTTTGATGATCTCTTCCGAAATGAGTCTCTGTGTATTCAATAAAATGGTACTTTCACATTTTTTGTGCTGGTACCAGGTTTGTTATTGATCCTCAAAAGATGTTGTCTGCAGTAGCACAAGTTCACCTGTCCTTGTCTGTTAAACTTGTATGATTTAATCTGCAAATGGTATGAAGGTATATTAAGACATTTTATTTCTCAATTTTCTCTTCACCTTGATATATCTCCATAGTTTCTGCTTCTGTTTGGCAGCTATCAGTGAAATCCATTTCAGCTGAAGGGCTTGAACAATGTTCTTCACATGCTTATTACATCCTAGAACTTGTGTCACATGTAGCTTGTTCACATAAAAGCACACGATGATGTATCTGTTCATGGTACTCCCACTCTCCTAAATTTCATATATTTGCTCCATTTTAGGCCCAAAGTCATAGCAGGAATATGATGTGCTTTCTTCTTTATGTTACTGGTCTTATTAAAATATTAACGCACTTCAGTTCATCCAACACAACCTTCTATTTCAATCATGCCATTTTTTTAATGTTCATGTTGGAGTATGCCAACAACTGAAATTGATCATTGATGTTGAACAATGTCAAGCATTTTACTAGTTAAGTAATTAAGAATAATTTGTAAAGGGGATTATCCTTCTAATGTTAACCGTCATTTATCTCCAGTGAGTGGCCATTAGCACTCTCTGTGAGTATTGCAGTCAGGATCTCCTGCAAGTAGCGGATCTCTTATCACTTCCCAGTTCAAACTAATCGAGTCTTTTGTACCTCATGGTTTGATGCTTTCCAGCAGCCTTTATGGATGGAGTGGATACATGTGCAGTTCTCCGCTCAGCAGAGCATCGTCAGGCAGAAGTTGGTAACAAACAATATCGGCAGATGAAGAAGGGATGCACCATATAAATGAGCTTTTGTTTTGGTAACTTGGGTTTATAGAATGGCTAAGAGAAAAGTTAGGGATGACAATAAGAGCTGGAATACTGGATGCTTGTCTAGCTCATCTGAAAGTGATTTAGAAGGTACGGTCACATAGTCAAGTTGACTCATCTGTGTACTTTCATATCTTGGTTCAAACATATCATATGTTTATTGTTGTGACATTTACACATCTTATTTGTTAATCAGTGTTCTAACAAATGAATACATAGTCATGCAGGCTCTGTCATTGTTGCAACAATCATGCATATACCTTGCAGTTTCAAATTCAACAAATGAAGCTGCAATTACTTTGGAGTACTTGGATGAGTCAGTGGTTTCTGATTCAAAGAGGTATACTTCTACAACTGAATCTTAGATGATGAGGTTGTTCAAAATTTTGAAGGTTTATTTTCTGTATTGTTTGACACCAAAGTGGTTTAAGGCAGCAGCTAAATAAATATTAGTTGTTTTGAGTTTCATAGTGTGTCTCATCCAATGGATTGGATTTTCTTTACATCGTAAAGTATTTATTTTTTTGATTGAGTTATAATTCTCAATCAAAATAACCAGGTTAATTTAGCTTAACCCAGCCTGACTGCCAGAGTTCAATAAACTCAAAAAATTTTCTGTTTTGCTTTAAACATAGATGACCACATGGTTATCTGCAATAAAGATGAATATTGCAAAATAATGCATATTCTTAGGGTAATTTATATTGCATGGTTACGTTAAAATCTTCTAGAAGAATGTGTATTATCACTTCTACTTTTAACAGTCCACTTGTGAGTAATTAGATGCCTATTAAATAAATTAACGAATATAACAAATCGAGATATGCACAACTCTTTCAATAATCTCATGGATGACATAATTCTTGAGATCAAAAGGTAGCACTTACTACATAGAAGGAATTCCAAAGAGGTTTGTAAAAAATGCGCATTTATGTTCCTTGTGCTAGTGATATTTAAAATGCAACAAACAAAATAAAGAAATTGAACTCACAGTACTCAATTTGCCGTTCGGTGCCTAAACGTTCTCATCTGCATGCCCATAAACCATCAATACCTCGATCTCATGCATGACTGGTAGAAGTAGATGGACAATATCAGGCATTTGAACAACCGCAGCAGAAGAACAGAATTGCCTTTGTTAATTTCTTAATGATCTTAATCTTCTTTTTTGTTCTCATAAGACAATATCAGGATGAGATGCTGTCTGCCATAGTTCTCTAGCTCTCCATCGAATGAAGAAAGATCAAGGATGGAAGTCCAGGAGGGTGGTGCAGGTATTTATGCTTCGACTCCTACCTTTTTAGCTTGAAATAGAACATGACATGAACATATCTTCTCTTGGCATCTCTAGCTTTGATTTTTGAAATATAAGAAAAACCGGTGTTCTCATGCTTTTTTTTCCCAACAAATTTTAATTGTTTATATTGATTCAGGTTTCAGAATTATGCAAATAGTATCTCTATAAGACAGTATACTCACTCTAATAAGAGCCTCAAAATATTAGTTCATCTTATATTTCATTCTTAATCTGGATTGGATTGATTTGTGATCAATAGAATAAGAATGCAGAGGACACCTAACTGTTGCTTCCTAATATGTACTGCCTAGTGTCAAGTATTTTATTTCATTTTCTTTAATTTGTTTTTATTGTATGTATCATAAACTAATGTGTATGGTAATTTATTTTGGGGAAGAGGCAAAAGAGATTAATTCTGCACATCCACTTACAGTAGAGATAAATTCATGTCCCACTAAATCATGTCCAAAATTGATATCATAGCCACCATCTATCATCTTTGATTTAGAGAATTAATTTACAGACGCATGATCATTATTTGAACGATTTGTATCGGTCAACTTAACCTCCACACAATCATCGTGGTTTCATTAATTAGAGAAATCACATCCCCCACATAATCCATACACAGCATGTTCCTTGTGCAACAAATCTCAGAATAACTTGGAGCAAACAAGAATTCCTAAACCCTTGTTATTGTTGTGCATCAATTCCTGTGTCTTCATCACAGTAGTTTCTTTCTTTCCTTGTTCATGTATACTCCTCTCTTCACAGAGGCTTCAGATTCCTTGTGGGGACATCAAAATTAAGAATAGATCTGCATCTGCTCCAGCACATGCCCGAAGCTGTCGATTGGTTTCTCCGTGGTATGGTTGTGGACTCCCTCGTAAGTCGTCTCCACAATGCCTTCGTCTTTGGATAGCCGCTGCACCTGCTTCTTCACATTGCAGCCTTGATGTGTGCACCGGTAGTAGCTTCTGCAGCCAAAAGAATCCATAGTTCAAAGGATTAGAGAGAGAGAGAGCTGAAAGTGCACAGGAAGCATGAGATGAGAAGACCAACCTTGGGAACTTGTTATTCTTCACTGCCTTCTGGCCGTACTTCCTCCAGCGATAGCCATCGTCGAGTATGTCCACATGACTCCTGGTGTGGAAGGCGTACCGCTGCTTCTGCTGCTGCACCTTCTTCTCCTCCTCGAGAGGCGATTCCACCTGATGAGCTCCTTGCGCTTCAGATGGAACCTGGGCGCTACTGATCATATCGGACGGCTAGCTAGGAAGGAGCGCCGAGGGGAAGGCAAGGCAGACGACGGTGGTCGTTGCAGGGAGCTTTCCATGTATATATGGAGTGGTGGGTGGACGGTGGCGGCTGTTGGGTGCGAGAAGGCAGAGAGAGAGAGAGAGAGAGTCGTGACCGGCAAGCAAGCGAAGGGTGCCGCCATTCATTGTAAAGGGTGGATGAGACTTCGGCCACGTGTCCGCGTGCGAAATGGTTCTCAAGATTGCATCAACTTGTGCATCTGTTGTTTGCTAATCTCGATGCAATTTGAATCGTTTTTAATGCAAATCGTGTTAGCTCGTGTGACCCTTAATTTTATGCACATAAAAATGTGCGGAATTCTATAGTATTCGTACGTGTTTCTCGATTTATCCTATTAATATGATGGCATTTATCGTTCATCTATTCTATGAATCTGGTCTTCCAACTTGGCATTGGACTTATTCTCTGTGGGCTTAGCAAGTTGTAATTATTAATTTCAGAATTAGACTTCGTCTCATGCTAATTAATGGAGTCATAGGTTATCTAACCCACTTTCTGAATATTATTATATTCTAACAATTGAATCTCTGAGGGGATTAGAGATGTGAGAATCAAAAAGGTTTTTGAAATCAAGGTTCGTAATATCGTACCGTACTGGTATTTCGACCTGGGACCGGTACGAGTACGATATGGTGTATCGAGCACTGTATCACTGCTACAGTGCGCTGCAGTGTTACTGTAACACTGCTACAGTGCAGACTGGTACCGAGCAGTCCGCTGGCCTGTCGGACCAGTATGTACCGTCGTACCGGGCGATACGATTCGGTATGGCAGACGCTGTTTGAAATAAATTTATTTCAACTAATATTATCCAACCAATTAAATTTTATCATAATTTATTAGAAAAAGATTAATTATGCCAATAACTACTCTTTGTGGAGCAAATTTGGAGAAGAACTTCCATTTCATTCCAACATCCATCAATGTAGAAAAATGAGGTGAGAAGCAGCATTATTGCCTTCTCATAATCTTTCAAGGGACCGACTGTTGGGAGTGCATTCAAGTGTTTGTTTCATTGGTGGAACCATGTTCTTCCAAATCTTTCCTTGGGTTCTACTGGAGTTTGGCACAAACAAGAATATTAAAAGCATTAAAGTACAGACAGAGGTTGCACTTGCTACCAACCTTGCATTGACTTTGCAGTAAAGCTAGAAGGATCATGACTTCGATTTAAATGACCACCAAACCAAGAAGAAGTCTTTGTTTTCTTTAGTTGGCTACTACTTCCCTGTCAAACTGCACAAACAACAAAAGTTAGGAAAATTAAGGACCATGATCCAACCAAGAACATGAAGGAGGATTGAGACTAAATCATCAACTTCCTTTTGTGTTTGGAGTGGTTTTGCAAGTCTCAACTCATGGTGGGTGGTCTTCAGCTCTACCCTGTGAGCTCACTTTCTGAGATGATAGATGAAGGAAAGTGAGAGGGATGCATTCCACTCTCTCCTCCCTCATCCAAAAGCAGAAGCTCTCATCTCTATCATAGATAGATAAATCAAGTGTTGAATTAGTAATCCTATGTAGATTTTAATATCTTCTCTTACAAGTTAATTATCCGTAATATTTTAATTAAATAAAAAGAGACAAGTATATGATTTGAACTTATAGTCCACTCAAATATCATGATAAATTTTTTATCCTAAAAATTTCACTAACAAACCAAAAAAATCATGTGTTCAAGAAATAAATTTTCACGCTAGCTCGTAAGTAATTTTAATTCCAAGAAACTTATGAATCCTTCCTATATAACCAATTTAATGTTTTGATTACGAATCAATATATATTTGTTATGATAGAGAAAATATTTATTACGATAGATACATGATAGATCAGTCAACCGAGATAGTCAAGACCTCATTTAACTACTGAACCACATGGACATCGATCCAATATAAAATATCTTTAAAATATTTTAATTAGATCATGAAATATTTCTTCAAATTAGATTATTCAAAAAAAAATCTATTTATTAAACTACAGTAATCAAGGTATTGAGAAACCAATCTAAACCTCCATCTCGTTTCGTCACTAATTCAAGCGTATTGAGAAACCAAAAACATTTTGAGATCTTGGCGATCAAATATGAAGATTCATCGTGGATACAAATTCCAACCAAACTGAATTGAGACGATCATCTCGAACATCATCCCCGATAACAAAGGTATCTGCTTCTTGATCGGAAGCAAGAACAGGTACAACAGGAACAGGAATGGTTGTCGTCACCGAGTCAGCCCCAATCACCAACCATAAATGACGCCGACACCCGCAGTCAAATTCGACCAATAGGAGGAAATAAGTGGACCCCTTCGTCCACGATGCTCTGTGCTCTCACGGTACCTTCATGGGGCCCGCGATCCACCTGTCAGCAAGAAGAGAAGCCACCTTCGACGCTTGCACCGTGGAGTCTAATCCTTCGGTCATTTCATAAGAACTTAATATCTCGACTTCAATGATCATGTACTTTGATAAGGGTCTCATGTTTCAGTCATTTCATTAGAATTTAATACTCTGACATTAATTATTATATAATATATTATTTTTAGATGAAATAGATTCAATCTCGTTTGGCTCCTACAGAAAGTTGTGGCCATCGAATTATTCCTTATACAAATCCTTCGATGGAAAGCAAAATATGTAATTTTACCGTAAATAAGTCCAAAAATATTTAGACATCATTTTTTTATAAAAAATATTCTTAAAGACATATATTTAGAATCAGAGATTATAATATTATCGACTAAAAGTGATTTAATCGAGGTCAGAGAATCAACGAATAATCTAATGGATGTCGATGTAAAAATGACTTGGTTGAGGTTAGAGGAACAAGGATGATTATGATCGACGATGAAATTACCGACATAATAATAAACTTATGTGTATCACAATTAAAATATCATCATCACCTAATGAGACGTTCAGTCCCTCTATTAACTAATATCATCAGCCAGATCGAAACATTATTAAATACATTAATATCTTCCTCCACTCTAAAACTAGAAGTCATTTAGGACAAGCAGCAGCATTCCTTGCTTAATCCGCTTCAAAGACCACTAATCCTTCTCCATCTCTTTCTTACCTAACAATGGCATCACTCGATGTAAGAGCAAAGTACTAAACAACAAAGCTTAAACAATGCACGGGCTACTGCTTGTGGATAAGCACGTAGCATTATGCTACTTGGCTCCACCTAATTAATACTGATGGTTGATTGTATTTAATTGGACACCAAAAAAAGGCCCAACGACCGAATTAATTTGCCTCCCATTATTTGCATGCAAGCATAATATTAACGAACAAAACTACCGGAATCAGTGATCATAATTTACATAATTAACGGCGAATATGATAATAAAACAAACAAGTACGATTTTTACAGCAGATTTATGATATTACCCTTTTTTTAGCGTCTAATTTCTCCGTCACCTCAATGATATGCCTCACGCGCCCGGACCCCAAAGGCTCCACAAACGCGAATGGAACATCCCCATCACGTCCGCCCATCCCCTTCGCCGCTCGCCGTTCGCCGCCTCTGCCTCCACACCCTCCTCCTCCTCCTCCGCGGCCGCCGTCTTCGTCGCGGCACCCGCTCCCGCTCCCACCGGGGCCTCTTCGCTAGCGAACCCCTCCGATCCCCCAGGCGTCGTCACCTCGAGAGGCTTCTCCGCCTCCTCCGGCTGTTTTTGAGCCTTATCCGCCTCCACCGCCAGTCTCCGAACCTTCTCCTTCTCCTTGCCTTTCTTGCCCTTGCCCTTGACCGCCCGCTCGGCGGCCTTGCGTTCCGCCCGCCGCCCCCTCGCGCCCTTCTTCTCCGCGCTCGCGAGGTGCTCCTCGAACGCCTCAATGGCCTGGTGGATGAGCTCGCGGTCGGGGGAGCAATCCCAGCGCGACCAGAACCCGGTGTAGCAGTCGAAGCACCCGCAGCCGAAGACCGGCAGGTGCTGGGTTGCGCTACCTGGCCTCCGGCAATGCCGCCGCTCCTCCGCCGCGGCCGCCGGACCGTCGATCGACCGCGTGAGGAGGTACGCGAGCACCTCCTTGTCCTCCTCCCGCAGCGCCGCCGTCAGCGCGAGGATCGCCGCCGGGAGGAGGCCGAGCACCGCCAGGGCGTCATGCGGCGGGGGCGATGGGTGGATCTTTCCCTTCCCTTTCATCTCCTTCCGCTCCCCCTCTCTCTCTTAAGTTAGAAGAGAAGCAGCAATTTTTGCGATATTTATCGAACTCTTAGCTTAGCAAGCACGAAAGGGGACGCGGAGAAAGGAAAGAACGCAGGTTTACAGGAGAGCTGAAACTGTTGACCGCCTATAGCCCGTCTCATGTGCCCTAATGTTTTGATCCGCAGGTAAGGTTATATGCGGACGATCGGCCACCTTAGGATGTGTTTTGCATCATATGATTGGACGGTAGAACCGTCGCGGCTCGAGTTCCGACGAAAGCGGCAAACGGAGCGTGAGAATATAGTGAGGTGGAAGCTGGAGAACCGTCCGATGAGGCGAGGAACAGATCGTTCGAGTACGGTGACCGTAGGTGACGGTACCGGCCAACTTTTCTGGATATATGCTTTTGGCCGGAAAGGAGGGCAACAATACGGTGATGTTGCAGCCGCCTGATGAGGAGTGGGCCAGAGATCGACGGCTCCAGTGAGATCGGTACGCGTCGGCGTAGTAACCGTACGAACACCGAGAGTTGATTCCGCAGAGGAGTACGTCAGAGTTCGTGCGTGGGGGAGGAGGGGGGGGGGGCTGATCTCGGATCAGACGGCCGACACTTGAGGTACCGTGTAGGTATCGGTATGGCCGGCGTCCCGAAGGTTGGCCGTCTCTTCTTTTCTGTCGCCCGCTCTCTTTCGGCCCGCACGCTTTCTTGACGTTGATTGGAGTGGCCGAGGCGTCTCGCACTCTTTCTTTCCAGCTTTATTCATTTTAGGTCTTCGGTGCATTGCGTCTTGAAGTACTGCCATTGTTCTTGTTCTTCAGGGATTTTTATTTTCATTATTCACAAAATACAGAATCAATAAAGATAGTTCCTCTTTTTGAAAAGAGATGAAGCCAAAGCAGATGACCAGCAAATAGGAGAGAGGTTGACCCTTTTTGAGTTGTTGAGGCTGTTGCTTGGTCTAAACCACAGTTGAAAATTTAGTGTAGTTAGTTGACCTAAGGACAATTTTAGCCATCTCTCTCTCTCTCTCTCTCTCTTCCAAAGAAAACTAAGCTCATTTTATCTATCAAATCACCAATGTAAATGGATATACTATTATGATATTTTGACCTCAAATTCTCTTACTTCACAACTTTGTTGTATTTTTTCTATTTTGTGCACACATCGAACTACTTCAATAAGAAAAAAAAACTAGTACAATAAGAAACCAACTAACCTTGCTGTGACCTCACTAGTAGGAATATAATTTAAAAAAAGAACGTTGATAGATTTTTAAAATATTATTATAAATAATTAGATAAAAATATCCTTTTTTATCTTTTTTTTTACTTAAATGCTGATAGGGTGTAATTTGACGACATGCCCTCTGAGAGCATACCATGGTCACGATAACACCGATGTGAAACTTACAAGTCGATGTGGCAGACCATATCAACAGTTAAAATAATACGATCGTTCCTCTAGCCTATGCAGGGTCGTACAAACGACGCTGTTAAATACGAGGCTATCCCAGGAGATTCTGAATGGTGCCATCGAGTACAGACCCACCCCGGAATGATCGGGACGATGTTGCTCGAGGATAATCCACACATGTCGACTGGTACAATGTCGTTGAGTACAAAGTTGGGCCGAAATGATGGGACGGCATCTTCGCTTGGGGACCATCCGTACATGTCGATTGTCGCCCACGCACGGAGGCATGGGCCGACCATTTAAAGGGTCGACAATCATTAACATATAGAGTACGATCGATCCCCGTATGAAGGTATAAAAGCTAATTACTTGGTCAATGCAGGGGATTAAACTCTCATTCCATAAAAACTTAAGCTTTAGAGGGGTCCAATCAGAAAAATTCCCCTCTCGATCTCGACCTGTATGCAGGGGCTGACGACGAAGAAGCAAGTAGCAAGACCCATAGCTCAACCCGACCTGACATACACCTTCGCTGTCCAAGTCTTCATGTGGACGATCGTACACATCCGAAATCGAACTGAACCGTACTGACTCCTCGAACATAATATAAAGGTTCGCACATAAATGCAAAGAACACTCATCCTTTCTTTTTTAATATTGAATCCGGTGGATAGATAGTCTCATTTTAGAGACACGAACCATCAAGACCTTTTTTTTTTTTTTTTTTTAATGAAAAGCATGTAAGAAAAAGGTGATGAATTTAGATTAAAAAATCGGTAAGAATGTGAGTTTCTTTAGCCAATAGTTTTCCAAATCATCATCATCATCATCATCATCATCATCATCATCATCATCATATATATATATATATATATATATCCGAGAGAGAAGCCGTCGTATCAGGAGTTCCAACGCCGAGTTGCTGGAAACCCAAAGGGAGGTTGTGGAGGAGGGGGAGGAAGGGAGTACGGTCAGATGAAGAGGAGGAGGCTCGCCCGAGAAGAAGGGGATTTAGGCCGGAAGAGGCCGCAGGTGGGTGCGGCGGAGGAGGGGAGCGGTTTTTTCTCCTGCCTTCCGGACGACCTCGTCGTTGCCATCCTCTGCAGGCTAAGCGCCTCCACCGCAAGGCCCTCCGATCTCCTTGGAGTCCTCATAGCGTAACCCCGAAGACTTTGCTTGGGGTTTTCTTTTGATTTCTTGAGATGAAACTGATTCTTCTTCTGGGATTCGATGATAGGTGTAAGAGACTGAATAGGTTAGGGCTGGATCCTCTGGTTCTGTCGAATGCATCCGTAGAATCCCTCGCCATTAGAGCCATGAATTGGTCCGCATCCGCTCACAGATTCTTGAAGCGCTGCGCCGATGCCGGAAACCTCGAGGCTTGCTACATCCTCGGAATGGTAGGACTCTCTTCCTTGTTTTGGTCGCAGAGGAGCGAGGCTTGAATCTTAAAGGACTGATGTTTGGGTTCGTAGATTCGGTTCTACTGCTTAGGGAATCGGCGGAGTGGCTTGTCGCTGATGGCGCGGGCGGCGATCTGTAACCATATGGAGGCGCTCTACTCGTTGGCGGTGATACATTTCAACGGCAGCGGCAGGTCCAATAGCGACAAGGACCTCAGCGCCGGCGTCGCTTTCTGCGCTCGCGCCGCCTCCCTCGGCCACGAGGACGCCATCCGTGTTCTGGGCCACTGCCTCCAGGACGGCTACGGCGTGCGCCGGAACGCGGCCAAGGGCCGCCGCTTTCTCCTCCTGGCGAACGCCCGCGAGCTTGCCGTCGTCCTGAGCACCTCTTCCTCTTCCTTGCCTCACTGCCGGCGACTATGCTCGCTTTTGAGAGACTTCTGGTGCAGCACGCCGGCCGGCGCGCGGCACCCTGCGAACCAGTTCATGGTGGAGTGGTTCGCGGCGAGGGGCGGCGTTGTGGTGGAGAGCGAGGGGCTCAGCCTGTGTTCCTACGGCGGCTGCGGTCGGCCAGAGACGCGGCGCCACGAGTTCCGACGGTGCTCTGCTTGCGGTGTGGCCAGCTACTGCTCGAGGGCGTGCCAGGCGTTGCACTGGAAGTTGGCGCACAAGGCCGAGTGTGTACCAATGGAGCGATGGCTTGATTTAGCTGCCGCCGCCGCCGACGGAGCTCCGGCTGACGGTGGCGATCTGTAGTTGGTCCTGAGTCAACGGTAAGAAAACGTGAGCTCGGGTCTTTGTTACCGTGCTTTGGGGTCTTATTTTGCCTTTCATATAAAAGGGTTCCCTTATCAAGGCATTGTTTAGGAAACCGCTTATTTTCTTATCTATAATTATACATTGTCATATATTACAAATATTTATGGATTATTTTTTATAAAAATAATTATTTTAAATTATTTTCATTAATACAGCTCATCAGCTATTTTATTAGTGAGTAGAATAAGTCTTAATCGGGTCAACTGAATCGAAAAGATTGCTCATTTACCAATTAGCATGTTCTTCAATGCAAATTTGTCCAAATAATTTATAGGAAATAATTAGAGTAGATTAGACTAATTAAGTAGCATAAAAAACCACTAAATTGTTAATTGCTCAGTTATGATAATAAGGACACGATCTTTACTGATGCCCTTTCTCGCGCTTACTACTTTTAAGAAATTGTTTATCTCATATAGCCTTGTTTTTTAGCTATGTATCTTTGCCATGTTTTGAACTCACATATTTGCCTTTATGAAACTTAATATAGCACAAATACAAAGAACACAAAATACCTTAAATAACCTTGACATCATGATAACCAATGAAGTTTTCAACTAAGAGTCAAAACGGTAGGCGAATGAGATTGTCTACAAGGACATGAATGATAATATTAAAATCATACTATAAAACCTAAATTCAATATTAGGATATCTCAATTAATTTTGACTTGGATGAATACAAATCCACTAAAAGAAACTCTGTTTGTGTTCAATCCTTGAACCCAATCCACATTTCTTTGATTAAGACCGACATGCAATGAAGTCCCTTTGTTTATAAAACCTGCATTTAACATTCCAAGTTCCAAATTGCATACGCTACCTCTATTTTCCACATCAATGGTCCCACTTGTTCTGGAGTGACCCCCTCAAATTATTTCAGTTTCTTGTGATAAAAGATACCTCTCTCGCTCTCTCTCTCTCTCTCTAACATATCCTTTCACGCACCAGATCAAGCAACTATACCCCATCCAATTATGCAGAAGTTAGTGACGGACATTTATTAGTAGAGAACCTCGTTCACGATTTTGAAAAGGAGATGCAATTGCCCTCAATTGGTCCCAAATGCTTATGAATCCCCAACTTAAAATACCAATTTTCCTTTTTAGGTCTTATCCAAAGAGTCTCAGTGAGATGAAAATTTGCTCAGATTTTGGTGCATCTGCCTCCCGCTGCTGATGCATGGTTAAAAGTCCCCACGAAGATAAATATTTCCTCCACATGTAATGATATTTGTGACCAAATATATTGTGTTTCTAATTGCTACTTCAGTAAACTACACAATATCTTACATAAGCATCAGATCAAAATTATGGATCATACATACCTTGGCAAACAAATTCTGGTATACTGTTGCTCTCTTAAGCATGGTTTCTTAGTATCAGGTAACGAATAGTTGGCCTGCTCACTCTCTTCAGAAAACCATTCAAAATGTCGACGAAATGACGAGCAAAGAAGTTGTTTCACGTACCACAATTTAACTGTCAAGAGGCATAAGAACGATCCCAATATGACACGAAAAACAAAAATTAGAGTTAGAGATTTACTGGTTCAAAAATCTACATGTATGCAGGGAAATTTTGGTGCGCTAATGTTGACATGGGAAGTACACTATCATATGATAACAAAGAGGGTAACAATGCACAGGGTATGTATTACATACGTGATATGTAGGTGCCAGCAAACCAATGCAGTCTAAACGTACTACAAATGAAGGGCTGATCGGTACCTGGCTCAACTAGACCAAGCCAAAAGGGTAAGAGATTTGGGTGATCAGGACAGACTTGTTAGTATTATGGTCGTGCAGAACTTGAACAAGCATAATGTTCTATGTGTTTAATTGTGTAACAAATTGCCATGGATTTTGGCCTAAAATTTCATTGTCCAGGAAGGAACAATTTAAGGATCCGGAATCTGATTTTAGGTTTTGATCATATAAGGAAAGAGAACTGCATTGTATGTCATATTATCGATTGACATTAGAAATGTAAATTACTTATCTTCTACATATCATCTCTTTCTCCTAATCAAATTTACTGACATATAGCTACCAGATGTATCAATCTGCATCTTGTAAACAGAACGGAGCCCTTAAAGCTGACGTCTGATTATTTTGAATACAAGTGATTGCGAGACCCTAGACATGCACATCGACAGGTGCACACAGTCTAATAGAGAACTTAAAGTATGTCATGGAACCACCTAAATTTCACAACAAACTTGGGAATGTCTATTGCCCATGAACTAAGTAATGAGCATTTCTCAGCTTAAGTCATGGCTCAAGTCCTGATAGAGTATTGGCACACATCAAAAAGCGCACAATCCTAAACCCCAAAACCCTCTTGCCCCCTTGATGCGTGCTGCATTAGTCTATCAAGACTTAATCAGGATGTGAAACACCGCTCTCATATGTGGACTTTATTTCACAATATTATAGATCTCCTTATCCACAATATTTGAGAAAGATGCAATCTCTTAAATAGTATTGCATAAAATAAAAGAACATGAAACACTCTTGTACATACCCACTTGCTTGTCAAAGAACTTGCCGGTATGTTAAAAAATTTTGCCTTCGCCTCTCCAGCAATGGCTTTTCCGATCACTGTTTTACCTGTCCCCTACAATCATATAATCACAGTTAGAATTTGAAGTTGCAGTGGCATATTTATTTAAATAACAAGTACTTACAGGGGGACCAAATAGCAGTAGACCTATTTCTGGCGAACGACAACCATAATATGTCAGGATGTAAAAGAGGCCATATACCATCTCCGTGACACATTTCTTAGTATCATGCAAGCAACTGAATTAGTAGAATAGTGAGAAGATATTTTTTAGAGGCAATTTTTGGGCACCAAAAATGCTAGAATTATGACAAAAACACAGTTATTGTTTCTGATTACCCATGTCGTCCCACCAAACATTAGAGTTTTTATCCATTATCTCATTACTAACAAGTTCAATTAGTCGAGGTTCCAGATTCCTTAACTTCTCAGGCAGCTCACTGTCAGGACCTTACAACATTTCTAAACTGGAAACAGAACCTCAAATCCAGGAAGCTTGAAATCAGAAAAATTTAAGAACTTTGACTAAACTACATCCTGGAAATAGAACATGCAGAATACCTTGCATGCATGGAGTCAGGATTTAAATCACAATCTGCACTGATATCACATGGGAGTAGAAAACCAGATACAATAGTTGGGTGTTGATAATCCAGACCCATTAATATTTTAAACTATCAGCCAGTCAAATAAACTACAACATCCCCTTTCTCAACAAAAATACAACCAGCATCTCTTCTTGCTTGTTCAAATGCCTGGCTGAATCCAAAAGATGCTACATCTTGAGAAACTGAAGGGAAAAATATACCTATTATCTTGGTACAACAAAGTAAAATAATCATAACACTGTTAATGTCTTATCTGATTAAACTAAAATATTAAGCAAGCTTCGTATGTAACATTCCAAGATAATGCACTTTGGTGCCATTGTTTATTAATGCCAATTGTGTAAAGGAATATGATTTAGCCATATGGACATCATGGCATCAAAAGCTTAAGATGAAAAAGAGACCTAAGCACAATCCTTCATGCTCTGGTGCCTTTTAGTTTCAAGTCTATGTTCACTTACCAATCTTCCATTTTTTGCATTCAAGCATCAGATTTGTTAAAAATTTCCTCATATTTCTTTCAATGAAAATACAAGCTGTTTACATTGTTTCATGTTCAGAAAACCAATATTATCAACGGTCATTCGAGTTCATCACTCTATATACTGATTGCCTATGGGTGGATTAGAGAGATATTACCAGTTAAAATAAGAAAGCTGTGTGAGGCTTCGTTTTTAGTTATGTTTCGCAATCTGATCATCTGCTGTGATGATTACATGCCAAAACTTAGTATGCGATTGCTCTTTCCTAAGTTGCTTATTAGTGTGTGCCATCTATGCTGGATACTTGCTGAAGAAAACTGCAATCTAGAAGAACAGCAAATTTTCACAGTGCCGAAGTAGTTTACAAATTTTTGGCAAACAACACGTGGTTCCATGTTTCTTTTAGGTTGAGTTTTCATCCATGCAGGTAGCAAAAATGTACGCCAACCCAGAAGCAGTACCTGAAACACAAGATCATTAAAAGCTTGATTTATGTGGCCAAACTACAAATGTATATGAAAACCAACTGCTTTAACCATCAATTGTAATACATAAGTATTATTTTCAATCCCATTCGTAGAATATGCTAGTAGCAATCCTTTTATTAGCATGGAGCCCTGTAATGTATTAAGTCCTTCTGTCCTTCACATTATCCATACATCTATTGATTCACGCTCCTTTAACATGGATTTTCCCCAGTATTATCCCCAAAATTGTGAGAAAATTTTGTTTCCTGATTTTCCAATCAATACTATTCTTGCTGCCATCATCATCATCATAATAATTTCATAATCATTTACTCCAAGACACAATCATGTTCATGTATATCATCTATAATTCCAGACATATAGATCATCATGGCAATGCATTTAAGAGATTGTTCTAGCAAGTTACTGTGTGTTTTTAGGTGTAAATCATTATATACCTTTTCCATGATTAAAACATTCTAGTTTAAGTGCCTTCCGAGGACTCTCACAGTCTCACTAGACCGTCTATATCTTCTGATGTGATAATCTCAAACCTCATCATCATCACACAAAAACAGAGTCCTAATGTCTTCAAGTCGCTCACGCTCCCTCTATCCCAGCAACAACCGCCAAAATAAAATAAGGCAAATCTCTGTATCTGTGAGTAAGAGAGCGCACACTCCAACTTCTTGAGGAAGAAACAGTCAATTTTTCTCTCTAAAGAACAATTGTTCTTTTCTCCTAAACTGACTTCATCAAGATAGTGGAAGTCGCCGATCGGAGGTCCATATTCGAATACACACAAAGTCGATTCAAATAACGACCAACAAATTCATAGCACCCGAGAAGCAGCACGATCAGCCACCAAATTCCGGGATAACGAGAGACAGAGATAGAGAGACGCACCGATCCGAGTCGAAGGCGAGGGCGCGGGAGGCGGCCTCAGTCCGAATGGAGGCGACGAGATCCGCGTCGGTGTGGGTTCTCGTACGGGAGTTGAGGAAGCCGATGAGGAGGAGGGCAAGGGTTCGGGAGGCGGCGTTGTGGTCCCGCTGGAGAGCGAGATCGGCGGCGAAGAGGAGTGAGCGGAGTCGATTCAGGTTCTCGTCGACCTCCCTCCTCCAGTTCTTCAACGAGATCCTCCTTTCTGCCCCCTCTCCTTCGTTCCTCTCGTCCTCCGCCATCTCATTCTCTCCTCCCCGCCCCTTCCACTCCCCCCCACCCCTTTTTATAGAGCTCGACTCGATGGCGCGGGGTTTTGCCTGTGACATCAAAATGACGGAAATACCCCAACGAGGCAACTGAAATTTTAATGTCATTTTAATGACATTAAAATGACGTTAGTGGTATGAAAAAAAAATAGAGGAGGATCTAATATTTTTTTTATACAAATTATAAATAAAAACTTAAATATCTTAAATTTAATTAATTATATATATTTTTATATATCTCAATGATGATAAAAGATCCATATAACTTATCTCAAATGATTGACGCTTAGGATCTTGGTGTTATATGCTCCATAACTAATAACTTGAGGATCATCCGAGAACATCGTAAACCTTACATAATGTTCATTTCATTTTTCGTATGAACTAAGTTTTACATAATATTTTTTTATCGATACTTTTTATGTCAATAAAGAATCTAGAGGGAGGGATGAAAAAAAATAATAATAATGGAATAATTCAGTTAATTTATCTCAATAAAGAATCTAGAGAGAGGGAACAAGAATGAATGCAAATGACATCTACATAGGCAGCTGGAATTGTAGTTGACTTGTGCATTCTTGGACAGATAATTGTTTCTCTATGTAAATGTTGTAAATGGTTCAGAATCTTTCATTAAAATATATATATGTCTTAAGCCCTTTACCTCACTTGCCCAACATTAAATTAATACTAGTCTTGAACATACCAAGTAATAGTTGTTTATTAGAAGAAACAAATAGGTTTGGAAGCAGTGGCAGCAATTGAGATCAGTACAAACCTGTGCAGTACACTTGTACTGTACACATCCATGCCCTAAGTATGTCGATGATGATGAGCAGTCGATGGAGGATGAAAGATGGTTGGTTTGGGATCTGAGTGATTAAGTGATGAAGATCCATTTTATGATGGCCGGCC